TTTGAACGGTAACAAATCTGAAAAATGAGATCTGTTTTTTTTTTTCAATAATGTGTTTTACCGTTTTTTGAATTTTACGAGTTTGACCTTCTTGATAATGTGCTTTTTTTTTTTTGAATTTTTATCCTAATTCACAGATATTAGAGTCAGTTAGAGAGGTTCTGTAAACTCATGGATCCACTTCTGAATCTTTGCAAGGTATTTCACCTCTCCAAGATTGTTTCAAGAATGAAGTACACAACTCAACCTTTTCGACTAGTTTGCTGCACCAGGCTGCTTCCTTTGGGTAGAAGTAAATGTTGTAAGATTTCCTTTCCCAAAGTTGAATTGGTTTCTGATGTTTTTGATTGCTTCACGTTATTATTGATAAGAGAAAGTAGTTAGAAAGTGACTAATAGGGATACTTTCTTCAGTCATGTTCATACAAAGTAATTACCTAACGAGCTTGATGTACTTGCACGTTTCAATCTGAAGTTAGTCAGTCCATTCCCGTGAATCCAGTCTAAGCCTTAAATCATCTCTATTTATTTAATTTTACAAGGATTTTATGGATCATTTATTGTCTCCGGCTTCAAAGGTTTTGAATAACCGGTTTGAGGTTGTTGTTGTTTGATCCCTTAATTCCTCCGTGTATTATCCTTTTGACTTCATGGATTGCAATAATCAGGAAGTTTGTTTTGTTTCCTTGCATGGCATAATTGAAGTTAATTTATAGTGATTTCATCTTAGTTTTGTTGATAGGGATGCTTTCTTCAGCCAAGTTCATACACAGTAATTAACTAACCAGCTTGAGGTACTTGCACATTTCAATCTGAAGTTAGTCAGTCCATTCCTGTGAATCCAGTCTAAGCCTTAAATCAACTCTATTTATTTAATTTTACAAGGATTTTATGGATCTTTTATTGTCTCCGGCTCCAAAGGTTTTGAATAACTGGTTTGAGGTTGTTGTTTGACCCTTTAATTCCCATGTATTATCCTTTTAACTTTATGGATAGCAATAATCAGGAAGTTTGTTTTATTTCCTTGCATGGTATAATTGAAGTTAATTTATAGTGATTTCATCTTAGTTTTGTTTTATGAATACTTTGCGGTATTCTTTCTCTTTCTCTGTAGAAGCAATGGATCCCACCTTACTCTATCTGCGACATTTAATGCCCACTGATCAAAAAATTTTCTGGAGGCGTACAAAAGTTTTTCATCTGAGACCGCAGGGTACATATTTGGAGGATTGACTGAGATTCATGTTTTCATAGTTTTCCCTTAATAGAAACAGAATTGTGGGTTTAGATCTTACCAGTTTGAAAATAGATATGTTAATAAAAAAGTGTTCATCATTTTACAGTCTTGTGACATGCGGATAGATGTTCTGAAGGCAACCCTTGCAATGGATGCTGTGATAGGATAAGAAATTTTATTTAAAGTAGCAAGACCCCTCAGTTTTGGGATTTAAATCAGTCCATATAATCAGTCATACATGGAGGGACATATTCTATACCTTAAACATGCTGTGATATTTACCAGGCATTTTTTTCGGAAAGAAGACAGATTTTAGTGGTTGTTATCCAAATGGTTCAAAAGATGAGTAAGTGAGCAATTTTTTTCTTTGGTTTACCTTGTAAATATTAGTAGATCATTTGACTTCTTCCCCTTCAATTGTATTGAACACCAGGGAGTGGCTATGTTCTGCTACATCACGTGATGGGAGAAACTGACAATGATCCTGAAATTTGGTTGCATGTATATTATTGCTGGATTTGTCTATTACATTGTACATCAGCGACATAGCAAGCCTTGAATTGGTCCATTATCCTTCTCCTATTCTTTAGAATATATGAGTGCATTTTTACTAACAGCCACATAGTATTTTGTATGTCCGCATTTAGGAACATACAAAATTTTGTGATTTGAGTTTAACCAACTCAGCATAGGAATGATTACTTGACTACAAAATATGGGGTAGCTAAGTTATGCATCCACTATGAAGATTTATTTTTCCTTTTTTTTTTCTCTCAGTAAGTTAGCTGTAGTATCTATAACATTACGAGAGAAGTGGTGCCAATATTTTGTGGCATTGGCTATGATTCAGGATCTGCTGTTTATTTTCCTATGATCTGCATGCCAAAAGCATCTTCCTCCCGTCTGGTAGTTCTCTGTGTTTTATATTTTGAACTAATGACATTTACATTTGATCACTGTCACTCCTTTTGTAATTGTTAGTTTTACTAGTTCGCTGATAGTCCGTTCAGGTTGAAGGCGTTATATTTCATTATGGGTACAAGAATTATATATTGAACAAAACATAAGATAACTCTTCCTGAATCCTGACCTTATTGCTTGTATCAGCATGTGAAGCTTCACCAGTATGAGATTTATTGGTTATAGTATTGACAGAATCTTATGTGTTTTCATAGGTAAAGCATGTCATTAACTTGCTCATCCAATACACTGGATGGCAGCTGGGATGATCCTGCTTACACGGTGAGTAGAATTTTATCTTTTAAGTCTTTTCCACTTCCAAGCTTATTTAGCATGTATCATTGGCTACGACATGCTAACTCCTCCCATCCTTGAAAGTGAAATTGGCTTGACAGGTACTTGATAGCCGTAATTCTGTGCATTAATCAGACAAGCCTGCTAATCTGATACTGGTTTTATTTCTAAACCGAAAGTATATTTTAGGATGAATAAAAATGGTTTTCAAACCTAAACTTTCTTCCCTGCTTTTATTCAACTTCATAAATCATTTTTACTCATGATTCCCTCCCAAGTACATCTTGCTAGTTTTTTTCTGCGCATGCTATGTACTTTAAAAATCAGAAAGGAGGCCTTTTTCATAGAATTCCATTTCCAAATTTTTCCCTACATTTTTTCTTTTATCAAAGGCTTAGTATTGAATTTTAGTTTTCTGAATGCAATTCTATAGCCGTCCTTTGTTTTCTGTTTTATCCTGAAGCTGAAAGCATTTACTCTTTGTGTAATGATTTTTTGTCATCACGAGGAAATATCTTTCATGGTGCTATGGGATTAGATTCTGTTCGGCTTATGCGGCCTTTTTAAAGGACGGTAAATCTGACTACTTTTTTCTTCACGAGAGAAGAGTGCATGTTCAAATTTATTATTATGATTATGATGATTTTTATTATCCAAATTTGTGGATGCAGGTCAAATTATAGGACTCCGTTGCCAGGCCTTTACTTCTGTGGAAGTGGTAACGGTAGTAGTGTGATGGGTGCACTGGGCCGCAATGCTACAGAGATAGTTATTCAAGATTTGAAGGCAAAATCAAATTGATGTTCAGAAAAAAGAAAACCAAGCCATGCCTTTTCATTATGATCTGGGAACCGGGAAGTCAAATTCAGAACTGATGCTTGCGGCCCTATGATCGGCTCTTTAAGTTTATGTCCTTCATTATTGAATATTATTTATATTATTTAATATTTATCACCAATCTAAACATTTTGAAATTGAAACAATATTATTTTTATGCATAAAATTATTAAAATAGAGTATTTAATAATATAAATATGGATATTATAATAGTATATTACTATCATTAAATATTATTACTATATTAATATAGTAAGAATAAATTAACAGATTAATATACATTATAATAATTATAATAATCACAAGTATAAAAAAATAAATATAATCTATTGATTATTTAAACTAATTTTATTTTTACACATTATTTAATTATAAAATATTAGTTAATAAATTATGAATGATAATAGAATTACTTAAACAATAATTTAAAATAATTATAAAAATTTATTAGTACATTAATTTTATAATTATTAGCTAATCAAAAATTTTCCTGAAATACTATTATTTTAATTAATTTTTCAAATATCAGAAATATTTAACATAATTTTATTTTAAATATTCAATTTTATTATAAAATAACAAAATCAATTAGTTCAAGTAATAATTAGAATAATTCTATTTTCATATTACATTAATTAGTTGTAACAAATATATTTTAATTTTAATTAAATTATCAGTTAAAATATTATTACTAAAAATTAATAAAATTATTTACTAAAAATTAACAATTTGAAAATAAAAATTATATTTAGTATTATATTAATATCATAAAAATAATAAAAGAAAACTAATTATAATAATTAATTATATTTAAATTATTTATTAATTAATTAACAATTTAAATAATATAAATTTATGTTTACTTTTATATTAATATATCATAAAATTAATTAATAATAATTCATTATAATAATTCATTATTATCACAAATTTAATAATTTAAATAAATTATTGAACTATTATTATTTAATATAAATTTTATATTTAGCAATAATTAAAATAATTTTAATTTTACACATTAATTATTTGTAAAGTAATACATTAACATATTATTTGTTAATAATGATCTAAATATTAGTCAATAAATAATATATTAATTAATAATAAAATTTTAATGGTGTGAATTAAAATTTAAAATATTAAAAATTTTAATAACTATTTTAAAATAATTTGCTTTACAATATTATATAATTAGAAAACATCATTTCCTAAAAATCAAATCATTATCCAACTATTCATTAGCAATTACTGAAATAATTATATTTATTATATTAATTGATAATGAGTTAATTACATTAAATAGTCAACTAACAATTTTCTAATAAAAATTATTTAAATTATTATTTATTATTAAATACCTTAATTTGGTTGAATCATTATTATCATTGTTAATATTATATTCTATTTATGTTTAGAATTTAGATAGTAAATTTTGTATTAATGATTAAAATAAACTACTTAATGGAGTAATGAAATAAAACCATTTAATTAAATTCTAGATCGTAAGTATACTTAAATATTAAATGTAATTTAAAATAATGTTATATTTAGCATTTCAAAATTTTAACTTGATATATTTATAATATTTAATCCATATAAAATTAAAATATATAAAATTGAATTTATTCATACTAAACATAAAAACACATAAATATCTTAATGTTAGAAACAGAAATATTGTTTCCAGAAACTTGTTTTTTATTTTCTTTTTTTGAAGAAATATTAATGTTTATCGCCACAAAGAAAATAAAAAACGAATCATAAAACCGAGAGAATAACAGTTGCCAAACAACACTTGGCATAGTCATTCAGCGTAGCAGAGAACGAATTGGTTGAGAAAAAGAACTGAACCATTCAAGAAAACTTCAAAGCCCTATGAAAATGATGGTAAAATCTAGCTGATGCGTGCTTCACTTTAAAAGCAAAAGGCCAAAAAAATTAAAATAAAAGAACAGAGAAAACAACACCAGAAATCTCTGCTCTAAAAGTTATAACCCTAACTTGAGGTCTAAAAGCAAATAAGAATTGCAAAAATCAGGATCTATACTCAGTTGTGAGCATGTGCTGGTAAAACACCATGTTACTACAAATACTTACATGTATTAATTTCCTACTATGAAGCAGATAAATACTAGTTTAAGTATAATACCTCTAAATTTTTTGATTATGTATACCAATAAGAAAAAAGATCTTTTCACTCTTGAGTGTTTAAGCTTTCACCAGTCCCTTGACCACCTGCCCAAGTTAGTTAAAATCACAAGTTACTAACTCACAGTGAGAAGAAATAATTCGAGGATTGATTTTAACAGTATTTGAATGCAGAACCAACTACTTCGCCGACCAGAAGCAGACTTCGGATTGAGTGTTGTAGCGTTTGAGGCAGCTTCTAACCTACGGCCTTCATAATTTCCATTGAACTTGTTTCCAGCACTTAACCTCCAAAAATTATCTCATCAGCATAGTGTGTATCTGCAAAGGAATATTGAAGATTAGAATAAAATAAAAGCAATTAGTATATGATACATTTACGTCAGAATATTGTAGTAAGAAAGCATTCAACCGATTTTAAATCAGTTTTGAGTGTATACCTTGGACATTATAATGATGTCATAAGAAGTGTTATCGAGCATATTCCAAAGACAGTCCTTGGCAAGCAGGGCATAAAGGCACTAATGCTCTGCTTTGCCAGGCCAGCAACTAAGGATTGACTACGGCATCAACAGCATGAGCTGTCATGTCAAAATACTAGGGAACTTAGGCAAAGCTAACTTCCAAAGTAACTCTAGACAAGCTCAATTGCAAGCAAAACCCCGAGCACCAATGTTTGGAACTTTAAGCATACAACATATACGTTTCCCAACAACATCATCTCCTATAAGATTAGCTTAGTTTTGCATTCAAAAGAATAAAAAATTAAACAAAAATGCACTTTATGGAATCAAAGTAAAGATGCTATATCATATTTATTTGTAGAATCTTACATTCCCCGGCACTAAATATACACATATATAGAGTGAAGAGAGGATACAAACTTGCTGTAATTGAACACAATATCAAGCTCACAAACATTCCTGAAGCATTTGTCCAATGTTTGCACAAAAACTGAAGCCATCACATCAAAGAACATGCAATTTTAGAGCCAAGATTTCATTAAATCTTGTAGTTTAATAACAATAATTGCTAACAGTGTCCGTGCAAAAAAAGAGATCACCTAGAAGTGTATTGATGCAATCAAAACTTTTCACTTAAAGACACCTGAGATAAATTCAACTAAGTGGGGTGACAATAAACAGATGTCACCTACTCCAGCACACATGAAATCAATTTCATTTTCTTCTTTTCACGAAATGCTCAGTTAAAAAAATCCATTGGATAAAAAGGTGTCCAAACTGAATTCAACTTCAAATCATCACAGAGACCATCAAAATGGATCTATTCAGCTTTATAAAAAAAAGTTTTCATATCTATAATGCAAGATTTAAGTAAAGCATTGAGTAATTGAAATTTTGATTTTAAAAGGATAGTAACACAAGAGAAAAACATTCATAGATTGATTATGCCATTGCTCAAGCAAGAGAATCTATTTCATAAAAAAGGTGTATCCGAAAAACCGAATTCAACTTCAAATCACCACAAACGCCATAAAAATGGCTCTATTAAGCTTTATTAAAAGTTTTTCATATCTTTAATGCAAGATTATGTAGTCAGACATCTTCAACTATCAAGTATTCAAAAATCTTGATTTGAAAGCACCATAAAAAAGAACAACATTTCAAGATAGATTACTCCATTATAATTAACTATACAAAAAAAATATTAGAAGCACACCTCGTATCAAGTCAAGCCCAGCTAGTTAATTTTCAGAACTATCAAATATCAAGACAAAGTAAAGAGTTGTAAAATGCTTGTAGACAAGGCGACTCTCCTGCAAGCCAGAATTCAAAAACAATTAATCAGAGTTCTACAACGGACGCAGAGGTAAAACAAAGCTATGACAGTTATTAACAAGATTCAAACAAGAAGTTTAAATCAAGAGGAGAACGTAACAAAAATTAATTGGTTTCTAACCGTAAAATAACAAGGAAATAAAAATTTAAATTAGAAACCAAGAAAATAAAAGAAATTACCGGAAAAAAATTGGCTTCACCTCTATGAAATTGCTTGTGTTCTCAGCTCTACTGCACAAGATTGTTAAAAGATCAAAATAAAAATTGAAAGCAAAAAAAAATAGATAAATAAAAAAAACTCTCAAGTAAGAACTCAAGAATGATCGACTAGGTCAAATAATGAACGAGATTACAAAAAATGAATACAAGGTTCATGCGAACCAAACAGAATAAAATTCAAATTAATCGAAGAAGAAGAAGAAGCTGGTAAAGGATCGGGACATCCAAAAATGTTGCGTATAAGCTCCCTCTGCTTCTCCACTGGCTGATTTCAACGAAATTCAGCGCCATGTTGATTGTTGCAAAGGAATTTGAACGAGTTAATAAGATAGCGATCTTCATTTTAAAATTGAAAACTAATAATCAAATGAGAGTAAAAAATCTCAAAGTAAAAGAGAAATTTACCAGATATTCGTAAATTTTTGCAAGATAAGGCTTGCCTTTAATGTTCATGAACATCACAGCTTTTATCATCTTCGCTCTTTTCTCGGTCCCCTCTCCGTCCAACCAAACAGAATTATGGATCTGATAAATTCTCGCCTCCAAATATATATAGCGTTCTGAAATTTGTAAATGGACAAAAAAGTCCTCGACCTTCAATAAAACCAACCAGGACCAACGGGTTAAATTCGGAATATAACATAATGGACAAACCAAAGAAAATAGAATCCCAAAAAGGTTAAATTAGGAAATTGACAAACCAAAGAAAAGATGATTTATGAATTCGTATTTTGTAAAATATAAAAATTAATATATTTATATCATATTTTAAACAAAAATTATTTATCATAATTTATATTGATATAAAAATATAAAATATATTTTTTAATTTTATTAAATCTATTTATAATTATTATTAAAATTTTAAATTACATCTATTTCATATTTATTTTTTTGTCATATGATACTCATATTATATTATTATATCGTATCTTTTACACTGTACTGTTGAGGCAATTTTCTTACGTCCTCTTTAGCTTTAACTAAAGCTGCTGAACCAACTTTGGGATGCTCGTATTTCGCTTTTCTCTCCATAATAAATTATGGTGGCTTTGACACAGTAAATAGAATAAGCAAAATTGGAGAAACAGAGTACAGCCAAATAGAGAATGTTTCCAGAATTATACCCGAGTTTTCAAACAAAACAGAAACTGTCGCACAAGACAACTATTACTAGAAAATCTAACATGTCCTGCTTCTGAATTGCATCATACATAAAAAGGTTCCCATGCTCTTAATTGTTAGGAAGCCTATATGATTAAAAACAAGTAGCACCATTAGTTTTCCCCACCTAAAGAGATATCCTAGAAGCACTCTTCGGCAAAGTAAAAGGGGGACACACACAAACCATATATACATTCAGCAAATAAAAATTACATGACAGCAAAGTCACTTCTTATCGCATTTAGAGCTGCTGATGTTTGATCTGTACATAAGGTTTGGAGCAGGTGAGTGTGCTTGGTCAAAGTTCATTGGAGTAAAGGCACTCGTCCACGAGTTGGCGAAGGTTAGGATTCTCCAAGGCAGCGGCAACTCTTTCTTTGTCGTTCAACTGCTTATTAACTGAAGAAAGAACAAGGTGAACAGGATTAGATCAGGAAGACTGGAGACTGAAAAATGATAATGGTGAAAGATATCAGGCTCACAATATTGAGATAACACATTATAACTCACTATAAAAAGAAAGATTGATGAATAGCAAACTACTGCAGTAGATGAATGTCTCAAATAAATGTATGATTCGCTTGATATATTATTTCTCTTACCTTTGTAGGAAAGAAAATCATTTAGCTTTTGTTCAGAAAGAACAAGCTAAAACATTAAAACCCCAGTATGTCTAAATCATATAAGAGAAACTTCGTTAAAAGAAGACAACCTATATGAATCAATAAAGAAGTGATAAGAACGCCAGATAACTGAGTTTACTATACTGAATTTCCATTTTTAGCATTGCCATAGCATGAATGATCAAGATATGTTGGTTAAGATCTTCGAGTTATCCTAAATAAACTTGAACAATCAATCCCCAAACTTCAAATAAGATGATTTCATTTTCAAGAAAAGCATTCAAAAATGTTGCTAAATAAACTTTTACTATCATTTTTCAAACTTCACCTGATTTTTCATCAGCATGAGATCCAGGAGCTACTTTAATGTCAACCTGTAAAGATAAATAATTAAACCATAAGTGATTTTCAGTAATGGTAACAAAAACAAAAATATCCCAACTTCTAAAACTTTACTTGGAGTTTACATAAGGGAATAAGGAAAATAGAGGATCTCAAAGATCCAACAGCTTGTTTTCATCGATTTATTGATTGAAAAAGAGGGAACTGAATCATTCTACAACAACATTGCAATAGAGTTTCTTTTCTTTTTTTTTCTGAAAATTAATTGAGAGAAAGAATTAAATTTAGAAAAAATTCTAAAATTTACAACTTATTAAGAACAGAAACTGACCTTAAAATGTGGAGGAAAACATTCTTTTAGTTTAACCCTTAGGCATAGACCGATTACGGTCGCCATGCTGCAATGCTGAATAGTGGGAGTGAAAGTTATCCTAAACAATTAATCAACTATATTACCACATAATAAATCAAATGACAAGGAATTAAAATTAAGCGACAGATTTAACTCCAAAGTAAACTTAGAAAACTTAATTTACTAATTCTAAACGCAATTTTATTTAATTTTAAAACAAAATTAAAGTGAGAAAATACTCACAGAATTCGACCGAGCTTCTCATCAACGGTGATTGATTCCTCGGAGAGAACGCTAAGCTGCTCCAATGAATACGGATGTTCTGGATCTCTGATATCCCTCACAAAATTTACACTTACAGTCAAAGATCACAACAATTTTTTTAACGTTTTTCAACTTCGTTTTTCAATTATCACCAAAATAATTTAAGAAACAAAAGAGAAACAAATACAGAAATACTCAATTTAATATCTGAAGAAAAGAAAGCGACCAAAAGAAGTTAAGTAATGCAAATGAAAGATAAATTTCTAGCTAAGATAATTGAACAAATAAACAAGCTAGCTCAAAACAAAATCAAGATCAGATAAAAACATGGAAAAATAAATAGTAGAAGGATATCATAGATTTCGAGGGGATCAACGGCGTCGTCGCCGTGAGGATCTTCGGTGCGAGCGACTCGTTCTTTCTTGGCGTGAACCACTGGGTTCGCATTGATCAGGCCCAGAGTCATGTTTCGCTGTTCTTCGCTTCTACGATTTGGTTCACGGACTACAAGTTCCTTTTTTTTTTCGGTGGAAGATAAGGAAAACTGAAGGTGTTGACTAGAAATTGCTTTGACTTTCTTATTGAAAGCATTGATCACGGATTAGTTGTTTATATCTTCTTTCCATCCAATGCGGTAGTGCCACGTCACTTTTTATTGGTGGGGTAAAGTTTCGCAAAAGCCTATTATGCTTTCTGAATGACCACGTATTCGGAAATTATCCGACCGATGGCTATTTATTATTGAGTGAAATTTTTATTTTCAATGCCCCAGATAAAAATTATTTTTTCTTTTTCTTACAGTAGCTCTTGTGACTTATGTTCATTTAAATATTAAGTATATTTTATTTCTTTTTTTTTATTTTTTGGTTTGGCTTAAAAATAATTTTTTTAATATTACATATAATCTCTAAATTATAATAAAATACTCAATGTGATATTTAAAGTTTATAAATAATTTAATATAATATCTCAATTATGAATTTATTACTAATTTGATACTAATTTTTAAATAATGTCTAATTTCAAATAATAACATAATCTACAAATAGTTCATATATTACATTAAAAAAATTTTAAATTAAAAATCAAATTTAATCTTTTATTATAAATCAAAATCTTTCATAAAATTATTCTATTTTTTAATCTTCAAATCACCTGGCATAACATTAAAATTGAAGTTTGAAAATTATAAATTTAAAAGAATTCATGTATATAATATTCTTTTCTGATAAATATAAAGACATAGAGTAAGTATCGATTAAAAGTTAAAAAAAAAATAGTATTTTTTTCTATTACACGCAATAAAAATAGACCAGATCTTGCGAATACAATTTCGAAAGACGAGAAAAACAAAGGTAGTAATTATGTAAACACAAAACATGTTTTTTCCTTCTTAAACGGTTAGCAGTGAGAACAAGAAATAATGTTTATTCACCTAACCAAGAGGTGGATGTTGATATGCAGTTCCTATTAGTTGATTTATATTTGATGCCGATCTGTTGATTCAAACCCGGGGCTACTATTTTACATCACATAATTTCTGACAGACCATTCTGGACAATAGGCAGACGCTCTCAGCTTGCTCGCTGTGCCATGGCTGCGGGCTCTGGTGCAACTTCAGCCGCTGAATGCACATTTGCAATGGGGTAGGGCTTGTCATCGATTCCCCAGAACTTAGCAGTTTTTACATCATCCTGAGCCATCAATCGTGAGAACTCCTCATGGTCATACTTCAGCGTTGCTTTCCCCCCAAATTCACTGGGAAGGTTCTCAACATCAAAGTATGATTTCATGAGCTCCACGCTATCTTTATTTTTAGGGTAAACAAACTTCACCTTCTGAGCTGTTTTGGGATCCAGAAAATACCTGATAGCCTATGGAAATGTACATAGCATAATATCAATCAAATGAAAGATACATCTCCTAGAGGAACTGTTATGCAAATTTCATGTTAATGTCACAATCTAAGATTGACATATTTCAACTACAGGGAACTAACTAAACTGCTTTTATGCTATCTCACATCTTGTCAAAGGAGGAAGAACAAATGGCTAAACTAACCAAATGGAAAGGCAGGAGACCTAACCTTATAAAATGCTTCAAAAATCCTTGGTGGATTATACAAGAAACCAATTGCCAGCCTCTCTGGATAGTGGCTCTGTAGAATGTAAATTATATCACGGGCTGTTCTGACAGGAATATTGGTGTTCAATGAAAACCCAGTGAAATCTATCAACCAGGACATTTGTTCCTGGCCCTCAGAGAGATTCATGATAGCATTTTCCAAGAGATACACCAAATGGCGGATATTATTTTCTGCTGATGTTGTATTCTGCCGAGAAGTTATAGGCGGAAAAATTAATAGGGCAAGTTTAGAAAAGCTTGGTGACAAAACAAACTGACGGAAACCTAGTTCAAACCTGCATTCCAGGCCTCATTATAAGCACAGTCCTTCCTTGACGGTCATGAAAACTTGCCCTGGAAACTTTTCCAGTCTCACCTTCATGCGCCACTTCATGCTGGAGAAAAACATGTCATGAGGTAAGTTCTAAGCAACCAGAAATAAAGCAATTATCACCAAAAATTATCCCATTATAAACTCATAATCATATGCAAATACAGAATGAAACACATCATCAATGATCAAGGTAGAAGGCAAGGACAATTATCAAGCTTCAGGATCATAAAAATTTAATTTTATATTGAGATTTGAGACACCAAAACTGATTTAAACAAGCTTCAACCTCAACCTACTCAATAAAGCTTCTAGCATTCTAACGGATCAGAAATCACTTGTACAAAGTATCAAAATCTGGGGACAGGAATTTATCTAACATACCCAGCGGATTTCTTCTGGCTTATAAGTTGATCTCCACTTTAATGTCTCTTCCAACATTTTCTTTGCCTTGTCAACATTCCAATTCCGAGCTTCCAAATATCTCCTCAGGCACGCATCCGTACAGTACTTTGAACTGCGTCCAGACAGTGGTCCTATAGCAGCCCTGAGTTCACTCACCTGCATGTCAACCACTTATTAGAGTTTACTTGCAATTAAATAAATAAATAATTAATTAATTACCTTCGCATCTCGTTGCTCGGAATCATCCTTCTGTGTATGCTTTCTCCGAAGAAACATTTCACTGCAAACAAAGTCAATCACAATCTTAACAACAACAACAACTTTACAGTTAAATAAAAAGAAAAGCCACTGTTCTGATTTTCATAACATAGGTTGATTATAACTAGCAGCAGAATATCAGTTAAAGTCTTACCAAACAAGAAATTAATTATAGATTAATTTTCTTAAATGAAAATTCGAAAAGCAAAGCAGAGAAAAAAAAATCCTTGACGACGGCGTTTCGTATGACAAACATTCAATTAACAGAAAATATTTCAATAAAATGAATTTTTTTTTATACTCTTGTGATCAACAGAAAAAATTAAAATAAAACATAAAACATAAAAAGAATCAGTCAATGCAGATAGATCTACTCAACAACACTCTAAGGATTACCTGATAAGCAATTTTTTGCGGTTAAACAAAGAAATTAACGATCAGTTTTTTCAACGGCCGACGGCCGGCGGCCGGTTTTTAATCAAACAAAACAAGAACTTCAAAAGTTAAAAAAACAATAATAATGATAAAAAAAGAAAAAGAAAAAGAAATATACCTGATTAAGCAAGAAAAAAAAGCTAAATGTCGGAGCTTTCGGGGGGAAAAGAAAAAGAAAATGAACAGATTTTTTGCACCGAGAAAGTGAGGAAACTTATGAGTCTACGAAAGTGTGATTAAATTCAAGCGAAAGACAGAAGACAGAGTGAATAGGGAGGATCTTGCTTTTATTTTGCAGGAAAGCAATAGGGGTTGGCGAGACCACAGTGTTGGCGTTTAGTTTATTTTAAGCAACAAGTGGGACCCAGGCTATACCAATTTTGCTGTCTGTCACATTTTTATTTCGTTTTAAAATAAATCTAATAATTTTAATATAGAATATTAAAATTTTTATATTTATATTATATTTTATATAACAATTATGAATTAAAATTTATATTAACATAAAAATATAAAATATATTTTTTAATTTTATTAAATTTATATATAATAATAATTCATATTAAATTTTTAAATTATATTATTTTTATATTTTTATATTATCTCTATACCATATAATTATATCATATTTATTGAAGATTATTGATCAAGTAGTTAAATAATTCAAATTTTTATAAATAAAATTTTAATTTTAAATCTTATTAATAAAAAAAATAATTATTGAGAAAGTTTATTTTTTATGAGATTTAATTTATATCGATTCTGAATTAATTGAGATATAAAATAATTATTGGATATCAAAATTTTTAAATATAAAATTATATTATATTTTAAATTATCAAATTTATTTAATGAAAGACTCTGAGAAAAATGCAAAAATTATGAATTTCTATTTCCGTTAGGTATACCTTTTTTGCGCATTTTAGCGGTTGTTTAAACGTTTAAACCATGTGTTGGGAGGGCTACTTAAATGAAGGAATAATTGAAGAGATTGAAGAAAAAAAAATTAGGTTTTTTTTATACATATGAATTATGCGAAGCAGTAAAGCACGTCTGCTTTATATAAAAATCTTGCTCTTTATGCTTCAAAATTTTGGATTTTTCTCATTCATTCAAGTTATCTTACGGTGATCCCAACTAAAATTTAATAAAATATTTATAATCATTTTTAAATTGTAAGAATATGTTATAATTATATATTCCAATACCAATATGAATTTTTAAGATCATTCACAAGCATTTAAAGATTTTTCTTATTTTACTATTTAACAGTTTCTTTGATTTTTTTTTTATTCTATGAAATAGCTAATACAATTGTTGACAGATTTTATCTTAGAATTCCAGGTTAATACCAAATTAGGTAAGAGATGGTTTAAGGGAAAAAAATTTTACTAGAGTAATTGAGATTAATTTTTTTATTAATTTTACTAAATATACTTGTTTAACTATATAACACATTGTTCAATCTCATTGTAAATAGTTTTCTCATAGTAGAATTCTATTATTAAAAATTAAATAATTTCAATATGAATTAATTAATGGGTAGGAGTTAATATCAATATTCTGACATAAATAAAACCAAATTTTCAAGTAAAGATTTTAGAAGATGTTTGGTATATAAGATTATGATAATATAAAATAAAATAATATTATGAATAAGATTAGATTAAATAATATTATCTTTTTTTTATTAATATGTGCAAAAAATAAAATAAAATAATTTATTTATTAGTTAAAATTATTATTTTTCAAAATTCATATAATTATATTATTAATATAATTTTTAAGAGTATAATAAGATATGTAAATTTAATTTTATTAATAAAAAATAAAAAATTTCACTTTGAAAGGTTGAATTATTTTATAAGAAAAAATATTAATATTTCTTATAATTTTATTATTTTTTAAAAATAAATCAAATATGATATATGATAATTATCATTTTATTCTAACATGACATTAATTTTTTATGTTATATTATTGTATTGGATAATTCATCAACCAACTGCTCGGATTAGGATATCAAATTTGAGAGCTGACTCTTAATTTTATTGGCCAAGCAAATTCAAAATTAAACCCCTGCTTTGCATACGGGTAGTTTCATAGCCTTTTTAGCTCAAAATAATGTTATAAATTTTCTCAAGTCCTTGGCAGCATTGCACCACCTTGTTGAATTTAAGAGTAGTTGGATTTGGAAGCTGAGACTTTTGAGTCACGCAATAATTTAGGTTTGGACCAAATCGAAAGATGTGATGGGAAGAAATGAACTCAAAGCATAGTTTGTCAAACCCCGAATCCACCTCGTTTACTTCAATTGCCAACGCGATCGCCGAAGTGCACACTTAAAATTGCTTGTGATCGAGAAGAGCATGAATAATTTAAACACACTTAATATTTTCGACATTTCTTTATTATTATCATCGTTTTGGATTTATTTAAAATTCGTTTCAGGTGGCGATTAATGCGACTCAAACGACACTCGACTAATAACAACTATGTGACTTCTAAAACTTTTGTTCTCATCAAATCGAACGTTACTTGCGCCGTATTCTAGAACATGGCCACTGACAAATGAGAACTTAATTATATGGTGTAAAAGCTTTTTAATTGTTTGATAAATAGTTGTCCCATGGAGCTTCAACGACTTTCTAGACGCACCATGATTTTTTCCTGTCGTGAAAGCCAAATGAAACGTACGATGGACATGGACTCGCATTCCACTAAACCTTGCTTTGAAAAGATTTAATTATTTTCGAAAATCTAAATTATCATGCTCGATTAAAATCTAATTAACACAATTAAATATTTAAATAGTTCAACCAATACAAGTCCAAATTATCATATTATTAATATTCAAAGCAATAGCTCATTCTTTACAAAGGAAAAGATTCGCTTAATATTTTATTAATATTTCATCAAAATATCATTTCTAAGTTACACACGTGATTTTTAATTTATGTAAAATTATTAAATATAATTTATAGCTATTTGAGGTTATTAAATATGATTTATAATTATTTATGTAAATTTTTTTAAAATTATATATTTATATCTAATCAATTATCAATTATTTCAATTAAATCACTATTTATTATCTTATACATAAAGTAACAAGAAAGCTTACATATATAAAATAATCTCTATACTTCACAAAGCTTAGATACATAAAATAATCTCTGTACTTCACACTTGTGTATCTTCCTTCCGTTGAAATTTTTTACACCCATCTCACCTCTTTCCTTATTTTTTCTTTTATATTTAATTGATTTAAGTATCGAAATGCATAAAAAAAAAAAAAAAAACAATTCTAATGCCCCTAATTATGCTTTCTGACTACCGATTTAGACCATGCAACCTTCACAATCTGACACCAATTCCCTTAAGCTAAAACGCCAAAAATACCATCAACATTAATGAAATTAGCCAAACTTTGTCCCACATCTAGAATCAATAGGACCAGGCGGTGGCCGAAACATTAATGAGCTCAAAATTACTATTTGAATCCATCTTAGAATAGGCCAAAGCCCATAAACTGCAAGCATCTACTTACCATTTAAAGGTGACAAAAAAACACCAAAAAAAAATTTAAAATTGAAATTGAAATTACTGAATTCCAAAAAAAAAAAATACTCAAATGTGTTGAAATAATTATATTTTACATAAAGTCTAAAAATGATCGGAACTAACTCGAACTCAAAATAACATTAATTTAAAAATAATTTAAAACATGATTTAATTCGTCTCACAAAATAAAATAATCTAACTCAAATACATATATTGTAAATATATATATTTATGGTGACACTAAATTATGGAATTAAAATACAATTGAGATGAAGGAAAAAAAAAAAGAAGAAGAGAATCAATTCTACTGAAAAAGAGATATATGTTGAAGGTTTATAAACAAATCTTCGCTTTACTATTAAGGAAATAAATTTTTTTTTCTCTTCATAATTATTTATCTATGTTAGTATAACCAATTAATATTAGAATAATAATTCTACTTTACTTTATACAACAGAAATGAAACCATGAATATCAGCAACTTTAGTTATATATATTGATCTGAAAATTTTCATACTAGCATACTTGACCAATCAAGAGTTAAGGATTAATTTTTTTCTTAAGAGTTTCAAATTTTTTTTTATTTACCTCCTTGGGTATCGAAACTCATTTGTAAAATTGATGTTGAATTAATAATTTCTTTATCAATAAATGGTTTATATATATATATATATAATGATAATTTACCAAAATGTTTAATTTTTAATTCCTTTAACATTTTATTTAATGGTAGTTTTCACTCAAGAAAGCAACATTTCAACATTTTGGTCAATAATAATTGTTATACCCAAGTGGTTAGGTCAGTAATAATTTCGGTTGCCACATTGTATATATTACAATTTAATTGATCACGTTATTATTTATGAGATATAAAAAATAAGATTAAAATCAATTCGTATAAATAAAGTATTCTTCACTTTCTTTATTCACTTTCATTTTTTTATTTTTCATTCACTTGATTGATTTAAGTGTTGGAATACAACTCGAAATATTATTTCTGATCCCTTTGATCTTTTTCGTAGCGAATCTCAGTCGCATTTTATCTCAACTTCTAATGAATTCTTTGATCACTAAACTTGAAATTACACAAATAATAATCCATATATCCTTTACTCAAAGAACAAAATCAAATCTCTGAATCCCAAAATAAGAATATATATTTATTTTATAGCATATTTTTAGAAGGAAAAACCTTAAATGCCCATTTTTCCGATAATTGCCTTCATAACAGCAAGTCAAGCTGAACCCATAAATGGATATCTAAGAATGTTAAACAGAATTAAAACCACATAACCTCGGCCGATGGACATCTTGTATAGCCCAATCCCTTGGGTTACTAAGAACATATATCAAAGGTTAGCTGGACAACAGCTTGTTATCTTAAAAAGAAAAGGATGACTTGACCTAAGAGATTTGTTGATCTGGAACAATGCATGTCCTTCTAAAACGAGGCTCACGTTGAACTCCTTGTGGGCTCACAAATTTTCACTTAATTCTATCGATAGTACAAGGTACGTAGAGCGGATGAAGTCAGGGGGCTTTCGGCGTCTTTGGCCCCTTGATTTTGCAGCATTATTGTAAATCTTTTCGGGCAGACTTTAGTGGGTTGAAATGCCCTTCCTCTAATGCATTGTCTCAGTGTCTAACTAGTACGACCACTCGTTCCATTGTCCAATTAGAGTTATGGCTGGGATCAAATCCAGTCAAGTACGAAGCTACCGAGTGACGAGAATAATCTCATCATATTTTGGACCCTCCTTGGGCGAAAGAGGAAAGAAGGGGGCAAAAAATCTCTCTTCTGCATACGTTCACATGGTTTCACGTGCAAGACGTAATTAAAACTTGTTGGTCACGATTCATCAAGGACATAGATCTAGTTAATAATATGAGGTTTCTCAACGCCTCCCTGGAGGGCATTAATCCACCAGGGCACAGATTGAAATTGCTGGCCAAATTCTGTGAACAGCTATAGGTAATAGGCAGAAAGAGTCCATTGAGTCAGTTTTCTATGAAAGGCAGAAAGAGTCCCATGAGTCAGTTTTCTATGAAAATGGGGCTGAAGCAAAGTTCTTGCGGGTAACATATCAGATGAGCTGTGATGGACGAGTATTCACAATTGGCAAAGAGAGTTGAGGAGGACCCATACCTGACATGAGCTCTTAAAGGGTAGTCTAGTTATATGGGGTTCACATATCGACAATTTTATGGCTAGATGTGACTGCATGCTCTGGTCTCAATCACTGGATTAGAGAACAACATAATGCAAACCCCATCACCAACCTTGTCCTCTTCTGGTCCATTGGTTCACGGGGCGAAGGAAAGAGGCTGCTTTCATCGCCCTTGTTTCATCTGTCAATTATGTCAAAGGATGAAATATCGTGTTCGAGCTACTCTCTTATGTCTCTCCCTGCAGTTTCCACTCTTGGGTGGAAATTAGACAATAAAGACTTTAAATGTTCTATAATATAAAGAGAAACCCCCAATCAGAGCATAAGATCTCATGTTTAGTTCCATCCAGAGAAAGAGATTTAGAGTTTGGTTCACTATGAAAATGACAGCCATTAAATCTATAACCAACAGGTAGAAGGGCCCATTGATTGAGAAAAACAAGATTGGCAAGGATGGCAACACCCACCCACATGCAAGTCCAACTTCAAAGTCCTTTTCAAGCCACAAATAACAAAGGAAACAGTGGGTAAATTGTAAGATACCAGCAACTTAAAAGATTGAAACTTTGTTCGAGAGAAGATGGTTAAAGATAACCTGCCAGATGATTTACACAAACACAGTTTCTATGAAGTCTTAATCAGAAAATTCTATTCCGGGAAATCATAAGTACTGCGAAGGTCCTCATCACTTCAGACACCCAAATACAGAAAATCATAGCTCAAAATAAGACTCGGTTTCAATCAAACCACCCATTTACAGTGCCTGAAAAACAGTGACATTTTTAACTCGTTTTGTTCATGGTTTTTACTACACCCTGCATGGCATGAAACAATCACCTGATAACATTAGTAAATGCTGACAGATTCACAGGTCTTGGATTCAGGGGACAGGCAGAGACCAGAACAAGACTTCCAAGTTCAAAACCCAAAGCGCACAAGAAACTATAACTTCCAAAAGTCATTAAATCAGCTTTCACTTTCTATTGCAATGGAACTGAACTCAATCAAGTCCACATTGACATTAACATGAAATTAGGAAAAGAAAAATAAAACATATAAAAAGGTTTCAAGTTTATACACACTACAAAACTACTCAACAACTACGGAAAAGTACTGCTCCTTGAATTTCATTTTCCCTATGTTACAATTTTTGTCAAGCTGAAAGTTCCAAACCTGTTGAAAAAAACCCCAACAAAATGAGAACCCGTAACTAAAATGAAGAAAAAAAAAAAAAATATATATATATATATATAACCATGGAAATAACCCTAAAAAGCTTCCCAATTGCACTTGAATTTTCGCCACTCAGTGAATTTCGCCACAGTTTCACCGAGCTGAACCCGAGCCTTCCCACAATAAAATCTGTTGCATTCCACACTAGAGAAAAATTACCAGGTGGAATATTTTACAACATTGATGGCCAAAAATCCCTGAAATCATCAACGCCACGACGAAACCGTGAGCAAAGGCACCTCGTTCCAAGCTAAAGAGAGAAACCCAGGTTGGGATTCAATCAGTGAATACGAAGAGCTGTAATTATAATTCCACAATAGAAGTTTCGCTTGACTTATTGCGTAATGGCTGAGAGCTACCGTTTCAAAACCAGCACTTTCCATTAAAAGTTTCCATTGCTCTTTATCTTCCATCCGTTCCCTTCGGTTTTCTGCTTCCTCCGGTCCAATAATACCCGCGATTTTACGACCGAGTAATAGTCTCTCAACTTGGATTCTCTCCTGTGAGTCACGAGGCAAGTTCGGTTCCAACGATTCGAACATGGCCGAGTAATACCTCAATGCGTTCTTGAACCTGGTCACGAACCCGACTCCATTCAAACTAGCTTCGTACTCACCCAACGTCACGATTTTCGGGTTCAAAGATTTTGCCAAACGGAGAGCGGTTTCTACAGTGACCGGAGTTTCATCTAACAAATTGAACAATTGAAGCATGAAATTTACAGCCAATACCTCATCTTCATCGACCCGGAAACTCGATTCGTTTAGTTCCTTAATCGGAGTTAGAATTGGCTCGAACTCAAAATTCAAATCCAGAAGCTTCGCAAAGTCACATAGACGGTTACCAGTAGCATAAAGAGAAGGACCTGGAGATGATCCCAAAACAGGGGCAGGTATACCCGAGATACGGATTCGGGTCGGTTTTCCACCAGACCGGGTCGCTAAAGCTTGTAAAAGAGCAGCCCATTGAACTCCTTGTACAATTCCAAAGTCCACTATGTGAATCTTGCTTGCCGGCTCCGTTGCTTCAAGAATCGCTTGATTTGCCGTTAAATGAGCGAACTTCGAGTAAGGACACGCGTCATTTAACGCTTTATAAGAGAGAGTGAAGTCCTCCGACGTCGTCTCAAGCATAGTCAATCTTTTCTCTGCTTGAAGAGAGATTCTGCTATAGAGAGCTTCGGTGAAGTAAAAAACCACTCTTTCAGTTGGATTTCCACGTTCTGATACCGATTCCCTGAGTCTAATCAGTAATTTAATCGCGCGTTCAGGTTCCGACTCAGCTTTTCTGGCACAGTCGAGTAAAGCTTTCAAAAGCGGGGGAGCTGACTCCGACTCGGGGGAATCAGATGAGACGCCTGCGGCGTTGTTTTTGTGTGGAGTGGGACTGCTTGTTTTGGTTTCTTTAACGGTTACTTGAGGTGGAGGAGGTGGAGAGGATGGGACCCACGTAGGCAGTTGAGGCTGAGCTTGAAGAGAACTAGGGTTTTTCTGTTCTTCCGTTGAGAAAATCACTCGGTTCAGATCGGACGACGGAGAACACGCCACGCTGAGACGATTCGGGCAAGCACTAAACGGATCGGCACCATAGAGACCAAAATCAGCATTGTTCTGCCACACGTCACAACCAGACGGCAAATTCGAACTATCCGTTGAATCCCCACTGTTCATCAAGCTATCCATCCACTCGTCCGTGTCAAACTCACCACCCGCGGCACCACCAAAATCCGGGAACCGAAATCCACCCGAATGATGATGCCCCATGTTAGGGAACTGAAACCCTTCCCCAGTATCTCCCTGAAACGGGTCGGTAAAACCCGGTCCCGAAAGCCCGTACCCGAGATTCGTAGAGTTGGAAACGCCAGGGTGAGTGTTGGGCCAAGGGTTTACAGAAAACTGATTGAGACCAAGGTGCTGTTGCTGTTGTTGCTCTTGCTCTTGCTTTTGCTTTATAACTTGCTGAGCGATTGCCATTAGATTTCCACTATCCGCACACATATATGCCATTCTCCGGCTAAACTTCGCCAGAAATTGCTGTGAACTGCACTCACATTACCCACAGAAACAATAAAAAATCAGCACAAAGTGAGCGTTTTTTAAGCATAAAAAAAAGAGGAGAGAGGAAAGAGAGTACATACAAGACTGTAGGCCAGAGAGTAGGCCCGAGAGTGACTGGACTGGATCAGAAGCTCTACAAACTTCGATTTTGCTTAAGATAAGAAGAGAAGGAAAGAAAGAGAAACTTGAGAAGTGTAGCTCTAAAGATCGAAAGCTGGAACGGGAAGAAGCGGGACAAGAGCTGAATAAAGTATTAAAGTCCCGTCTCATTGGCAAAGTGGGTCCTTGTCATATTATTATTATAGGTAAGGATGAATTCGAGTGTCAATGAAGTTGATGTAGCAAGAAGCTTGACTCAAAATTTGTTGGAAATTCGGCTTTGAGTTTTATTTTTTAATTTCGACACAACGTAGAAGTAGAGCTAATTTAAATTTATTTATAAAGTAAAAAATAAATTTGATTTTTATGATATTAAATTTTTTTATAAGAAAATTTTAAAATAGATAAATTTTTTAATTTTTTAAATTATAAAAAAATATTTCATATATAATAATTTAAGATAAATTATTATAAATTATATATTTAAAATAATTTTAATAAATAATCATTAATAAAAATTTTACTCAATATTTAATTATAAAAAATGATGAACTTTCAAGTTATGACATTAAATTTGATGATTGGCATTTGACTTTAAACTTAAGTTTAAATTATATTAAAATAATAATTTTAATTAAAATAATTAAATATAAAAAATTTGATTATAAATTATTTATATTGAACATTATGATGCTTAAAAAATCATAGATCCAAATGATATACTAGAATGTTTCATGATTATCTAAAAATTTAAAATTAAAAAAAAAATTAATCACCCATAAAAGTTTTTTTGAATGATAAAAATATAAAAAAATGAAAACTAAAAAAATTCATAATATTCTAAATTTTTTTCTAAACATCTTTTTTATTAATAAAATTAATAAAATCTTCAATATTATTTTATATATCTTTTAAATAAAACCTTTAAAAAATCTTAAATTTATAATTTATTAAAATATTCAAACTCAATTGAATACTCGTCGAACTCAAATTAATAATTTTTAGATATACATGTGTTGTTTACATATCTAATTATTATAGGTGAAAAAAATTTTAAAATTTAAAATTAATTTAAAATTTTAGTAATTAGTTCGGTTTGAATTTTTTTTATAAAATTCAATTGTAATTAAATTTAAATATTAAATACATATTATATTCAAATCATATTTTAAATTTGAATGTAAAAAATAAAAAAAATTAAATTAAATTGAATCGTATATTTTTATTAATTTTTTAAATATATTTTTTAGATTTTTATAAAACAAAATTAATAATTTTACATTAAAATCTATTTAAATATATTAAAAAATTTTATTGAAACAATATATATAAAATAAAAAAACAAAATTTAAAAAGTTATAAATCAAATTAAACAGATAAAAATTAATTTAATTTAAATCAAATCAAATAAAAACTTGATTTAAATTTAAATTAAATTTTAAATTTTATAATATTATATATTATTAAAAAAATAAAATTATAATCAATTTTATTTTGGTCGTTATTATTTTTATTCATTATATATTTTAAGAAGTGGGTCCCACTTTATTTTTTATAAAATCAAATGAAAATGAAGAAAAATGACGTGGAAATGTCGAAAAACTTGAGACGATGAAAATCCCATCTCCCTTACTGTGGGCGACTACTAGCCTACAACTGATAGCAGCTCTCTCTTACTTTCACTTTTGTATTCGTTTGTTCATTCTTTCTGAGTCCAAGTTGCTGGGTCCATGACGTGGATCCGATACGACTTGTGGGACCCGCTTTTACTTTTTTTTCTATCGAAATGACAACACCAAGGGGCATCAGCGTCCACGTGTGACCACCTCTCCTTTCATTTCAACAATCTCTCCCGCGCTGCTCGGGAACCCCTTCGAAGTTGGGTTTGGAAGGGGCCCACTTCCCGTATCACCCTTTCACCGCGACACGTCGAAATGTTTGTACAGCAAGTCGGCCTTTCCTTCTCACTGACGTCATCGTACCCTCGACTGTGATCGTTTCGGGAACAGCGCGCAAATCCTAATCGTCCGTTTCTTTTCGTTTTTCTTAAGATATGGGCCTCCAAACATGTCGACGCGACTACGCCTGCCTCTCTCTCTCTTTGCAATCGAAAACGACGCCGTTGGTACTCTAAAAAATCACCGCACTTTCCGTTGTTTCTTTTGTGAAGACTGAAGAGGGTAAAACGGTTAGAGACAAAAAGGTGAAAAAATTAGGGTCCGTTCTTTTTGGGCGGTTAAGGGACCCAGGGACGAGATGGGACCAAAGAGCAGGGGGTGAACAAACTTTTTTTTTAACTTAAAAATCGATTAAAAATTAAATATTTAATTAGAATTTAAATTAAAAAATTAAATTCAATCTAATTATATATTTTTAAAATTTTATAAAATAAAAATAATAAATTTATATAAAAATTAATAATTAATAAACAAAATTAAATTAAATTCGTAAATTTTTATAATATTATATAATACTCAAAAAAATCGAAACAATTGTTACACATGCTAAAGAGCAAAGGAGCCTCAAAAAAAGAGTGGTAAAGGTCGGAGTGCAATTGTATAGTCCTTGACCAACTGAAATGCACCAACCAACATATATAAATAAATAAATAAATAAATAAAAGAAAAGCGAAGGTGCAGTATATTTTGACGGTGTTGGAAAGGGCAGTCGAAAGCAACTACAAAGGTAGGCGTGGCTGAAAAGATGCTGCTGTGACCTCCACTACATTTGTTGTTCATGAATACATCTTTTTTCCTTTTTCTTTCATTTTTAAGCTTTAATACGTGTAAATTCACTCAAATCAGCAAATTTTCTCATTTCATTTGAATCCCTATTTTTCAAAAACTTAACTAAACATAATGGACACGTCATTTATCTTACACTCATATTGAATTTTCTTTTTGTCAATAATTTTGTAATAGACCTACAAATGTTAAATTAACATATTCTTACAATTTTATCCATTTTCATTTTTATTTGACTAATTTACAATATATAATGAAGAAGCAAAATTAAATAAAACTTATGTCTTAATCAACCGTCACCAGTTGAATAATGAATAAGAAATTTAAGAACAATGATTCCAAAATAGCCTACTCTTGTTATCACTTTATCTAAACTTTTAATTTTTTCCTTTTTTTTTTTTTTTGACTCTCTTTACTATCAATATTTAATTATTGATTTTCACATTTCCAACTTTTCAATAATTTTTTATCAATTAGAATACTTTTCCTCTCTTTTTTTTTTATAGGTCAAAAATATTTTCAAATTTTATCCAAAATATCAATGTTTAATTATTTTTAAAATACATTTTTTTCATATGATGCCCCTATCTCAACTCTTTGAGGCTGCTATATCATTTTTCAAACAATTTACATACCTTATTATTATTTATTTTCTTTATTTTTTTGGGTGGACTCTTTCTTTTGAATTGATTATTGTTTTTGTTATTCATTTGATGACATTTAAAAATATATAAAAAAAACAACTCAAAAGTTTTATATGTTTACCATAAAACATATTAATTAAACTTATTATCATATTATTATTCGTTGGCATTGTTTTTGTCATTTTGAAGGATTTTTTTTTTCCCTTTCATTCTCTTTATAAATTGATGGAGGATGAATTGATGGGCTTTGATCACATTCTTTCATTATTATAGCATTAAATTTTCATAATTATATAACATTTTAATTATTATGCGATGGAGATCTCTTCAATCTTTTATATCATTGTCCCATTAACGATGTTTGACTGATTTTTAATTTGGACCACATCTTCCACATAGTCAATATCACAATTTTTTTTTCTTAAAGAAAACACTTGCCTTGATAATTGTCACTTGATGATGTTATTAAACCTTGTTTTTCATGTCTAAATTTGTATAATTTTCTGAATAATTTCAAATTATTATCAAGATTTTTAAAAGGGCAAAACAATACTAAAAACCAAAATTCAAAGATTTATGGTAATAGTGTGATCGTTTAACTTCAAAAAAAAAAAAAAAGCCAAAGATATATAACAAGGATGGATTTGAAAAACAGAAGGAAATTTTGTACAAAAAGGTATAACTTAGTGATAATTTGGGTCAAAAATTAATATTATCGAGGACTTATTCCATAATAATGCATCTCCTATGAATTATTGATAAAACATTTTTTCACATGTAGCTAATGGAAGAAATTTGAAGATAAATTATTGTTCAAAGTTGAAATTTTAAAAATATAATCTCTCAAGTGAAATTGAAAATTACCAAATATTCTTTTTTCATTTGGTTATATTATATACTGTTCTTACATTTGCCCAATGTTAATAAACCCACAAAACTAAAATAATAAAAGGAATCTTATAAATATAAAATTTAAATGTAACTTTTCTTGTATGAAAATTTATATTATTTGAATTTAAAATTTAATTTAATTAATTTATATGATTATCTTAAATGACAATATTATAAAAATTTAAAATTTAAATCTCAATGACTATAAAAAAATCCCATTAAAGGTTTTTTTTAGTGTTTTTTTTTTATGTATTTTCCTTGAGGATATCCCTAGGGGCATTGTAGGCTTTACCCTTAATTATTTGAATTTTTTTTTGTTTGTATGTATAAATATATATATATATATATACAATAAACTATTACTGACAAAACTTAAATTCAAGATTTTTTCATTGAAGAAGATGAGTCTTAACCAATTAAATTAACAACTTGATAATATTTGTATATAATGATTAGAAAAGAGAAAAGCAGAATATAAACGTGAAGTCCCAAACGTTTCTTGGAAAATTATGGCAAGGGTTGATTTTTAAGTCAAACATGCAATTAAGTAGGTTCTTGATCATCCGAACATGCAAATTTTTTTGTTTGTTACCTGCACCAGCTAGACTACAAGAAGTGACAATAGTGGCCCCCTGAATGTCATTTTAAGTTATCTGGAATGGAATTTCTGATGGTGAAGAATACTTAAAAAGACGTTCTAAAACTACTCCTAATTTGTAGTGGGAGACACTATAATTGGCTAATGGAAATCCACTTGTATTGGATTAGTATCTTTTGCTTTGTCCCCCCTTAAAAGCGATGCTTGTATAAGAGAAATAACATAATGAACAACTAAAACGACTAGTTCGAAAGACTTCTAGTATGGATTAGCAGCCCCACACTTTATTCTTTTTCCTTTTTTTTTTTTTTTGAATATTTTATTTGTCCAAAGAGTAGTTATAGCTAAGCAACTTATGTCGTTTTATGTGAGAAGCTTCACTTATATGGACTAAGCATTCTTGTTTTGATGTCTAATATTAAGTCAGTTAGTAAATGAACTTAGGAAAGTGAATTCGTGGCTTTAAAAGGGGGAAAGCTTGTTTCTTAATTCTTACTAGTCTATTTTGTTCAAGAGAACAAGGACATGTCTCGAGCGACATGCTAAATAAACCCATTTTCTGTTCAAGTTGTGGATTTTATATGTACTCTGCAGTAGAATGGATCTCAAAACCTGCCAACAGAAATGGCCCAAATTACACAATGGACACAAAGTGTGCTCCAACCACAAAAACCCACGTTTCTTTGAAGCCCAATTGATGCCTAGATTCTGGAAGATGATGACAGGGTGCTGATTTCCTCCTTGGGTGGTTTTGTTTAAAGAAGGGATTGGAGAGCTATGGGGAATGGAAGCTAGCTACATAAGGTATTTACGTCTCGGCAAACAAATAGAAGGAATTAAAACTTAGATTGCTGACCAAGGCAAAAACATAATTCTGGTTGATTGAAACTCGATTCTTTCAATCACAAAAGTTCCAAGATTGATGAATGGCACAAATATTGCCGACATGCTGTACGTACAAATAGTTTATTGGATCCTTGTTCCCCATCACTTATTCGGGCTCACTTGTTGCATCGTCGTAAACATTTGCGTAAAGCCCATATAATCCCTTCTCGAAGGGCACATGAAATGAATTAATACACACGGGCTTTCGGTGGGAAAGACTCAACCTCATCATCTAATGTGTTCATGTGAACTGGCCGGTAATCCAGTCGCACCTTCTCGTTCTCCCAATAGCTGCAAGTCGAAAGTAGAATCCATGAATAATCAACAAGAAGAGAAATAACAATGTATATTGAAATTGTGTTCCTCCAAGGGAATGTGATGTTACCCTAATGTGTGCTTCATCCAGTTCTGATCATCTCTTTTCTGCAAAAATAGCAGCAAATTCACTTTTATTATACTGAAGTTCGGCAAAACGGAAATGACCAAACTGTACAGAAAATAAAACTAACTGTAAAATCTTCACGGGCATGTGCTCCTCTGCTCTCTTTTCTAGCTTCAGCAGAATGCATGGTGATACAGGCATTTATCAAAAGATTTTCCAACTCGATAGTCTCTATCAAATCAGAGTTCCTGGCAAAACATTTTAAAAATGAAGATCATCAAACAATGAACTACAAGAATGATATGGCGAACATCCTAGTGCCTGCAATCTTACCATATTAAACTTCGATCCTTCAACTGAACATCATGGAAACTTTCCCATGCCTTATCAATTAACTGACAACCTACAGAAATACACAAAGAAGTAAATAGGTTTTTCCCAAGTGAAAACTAAATGTTAAAAGACATTATATTAGTTTCAGCAGGAAGAATCTCAAAAGCAACATAAAGCTAAACTAATTACTCTATTTGCCTGAAAAGGAGGAATAATGGGAAGGCTAAATGGGAGGAAGAAGATGCATGACCGAAAAATCAATGGGACAAAACTAAAACATTAATGATGAAGAAGGATGACACACCTTCTTCTAGGGTTTCCTGTGTACGGAAAACAGCAGCATTGTTTTGCATTACTCGTTGCATATTCAGTCGAATTTTTGAAGTTGGAATAGAACCATTTGAATTTCTTATTTTGTCCAGCCATTCAACTGTTTTCTCCCCAGCATCCTTTTCCAAAGGTTTCTGCTTCTCCCCTGAAAAATAACTTGTATGTGAATGAACATTGAGACAACAAGGCATAGCTACTTGTCTGCAAAAGATATAAAATACAACTTGCCTGGTCTATGGACCTCGGCAACTCTGTTTGCACAAGCGCGACCAAAGACAACAATATCAAGAAGGGAGTTTGCTCCCAAACGATTGGCACCATGAACTGATGCACAGGCTGCCTCTCCAGCAGCCATCAGTCCAGGAACCACAGAATCTGGATCACTGCCTCTGACAGTAACAACCTGAGATGTAAAAAGAACACTTATTAAATATGGTGAGCCCCAAAATCAACAAAAGATATGCATGGCGACATTAAAACCACAATTAGTTGAATATCGGACGTGAATATTTGAAGAAACTAATTGTTTCAGGTTTTCATTCTCAGATAATATTGCAGGTCCTTCATTTTTTAAACATAATCAGTTATACATCAAACGGACATGTATCAATATGCATTTGTTCTGTGAATCTCTAAAATGAATAACTCAATAAAATTCCAGTAAACCAACATAATTACACATCCTTATATATCAGTAATATTTGTTCTGAAAATCCACATGTAAATACATCTATGCATCTGAGTATCACACCTCTCCATGGTGATTTGTGGGAATTCCACCCATATTATAATGTACAGTAGGCAAGACAGGGATGGGCTCCTTTGTAACATCCACACCAGCAAAAATGGCAGCAGTCTCAGAGATACCTGGAAGCCTCTCCTTGAGCACCTCTGGGGGTAAGTGATTCAAGTGGAGATAGATATGATCCTTCAAAGGTCCTATTGGATATAGATACCACAGTTAATAACTCCCAAGTTGTGAGAAGATTTATATTATTTTGCATGTAACTGTTAAATTGTCTACATCAGACAACACTAAAAATAAACATATCTTTCAGATGGCACGGGCACCTACAAATATGTATGGAAACAGATATATAAAACTTCAAAGAACTAAGACTAACAATTCACAAAATGCCAGAAAAAAGAAACAACATATATACTCTAAACCACAAGTGCCATATTGCAATACCTCACTGCACATCTGGCAACACCATAAACACTCCTTAAGCAAGAAAAACAGGGATGACTGTCAACAATAAGGAGATAACCATACCTACACCACGACCTTCCCTTATTTCCATGGTCATAGATCTTGAAACAACATCCCTTGAAGCAAGATCCTTGGCTGTAGGGGCATACCGTTCCATAAAGCGTTCACCTTCACTATTTCTAAGAATACCACCTTCACCACGAGACCCTAGGAATTGTAGATGAAAATCTCAGCTTCAATTAAAAAAGTGGGTCCGGTTAAAATTAAATTCAAAAACAAAAAAATGGGTATAATAACTATCTATAACATGCAACCAAAAATCACCCCAAGACACTGCTCTTCATAAGAAGTTGAATAAGCACAAACCTTCAGTGATGAGGCACCCAGCTCTATAGATTCCAGTTGGGTGAAATTGCACAAACTCCAAATCCTGTAGGACGGATACATCAAGAGGGGAAAGAACAGATAAAGGATTAAGAAAGCAGCTTCACAAAATCAATTTCAAGGTTAGAAAGAACACAAGAACCTGGAGTGGAAGCCCAGCACGAGCAACCATAGCATTGCCATCACCAGTGCATGTGTGAGCTGAGGTTGCAGAAAAGTAGGCCCTACCATATCCCTGAAAGAAACGGACAACAAAGATAAAGGTCCTTTCGTTCATTTTGAATAAAAATAAAAAACAAATCAAGAATGAATATAGTACCCCAGTGGCCAGAATTGTGGAAGCAGCATGGAATCGATGTAGAGTTCCATCCTCCATGTTCAAAGCTATCACTCCCTGGCAGCTCCCTGCACATAAGGAATCAATAATCAACAAAAGTTATCCATATTACAATGCAAACATGAATAAAAAAATTTGTTTTGTCAAAGTTCCAAAGAGAATTCATTATAAAAAGTAAGGTGACATGTTCATAAAAATGAAGAAAACAAGTTAAGATCAAATTATAAACAGCTAACATAACAAGGAATGATAAATATGCCAGACCTAAGGTAAAAAACACGGACAAAAGTAATCTGAAATACAATTGATGGAGAAAACCTTAAGTTCCTTGCAATAACCTACCATCACTATGCATCAATAGATCCAAAGCAAAATATTCCACAAAGAATTGGGTATTATGTTTCATAGCTTGGCCATAAAGAGTGTGCAATAGAGCATGCCCGGTTCGATCAGCAGCACATGCACAACGATAAGCCTGTCCACCTAGTAAAGATGGAAAAACATTGAGAAGCCAAGATCAGAATTCTATCCGCTAATCATCTGAGCCAATTATCTAATTTGTGTACTCATACCTTTTCCAAAGTCAAGGCTTTGACCACCAAATGCACGCTGATATATTTTCCCATCTTCTGTTCGAGAAAAAGGCAGCCCATAATTCTCAAGTTCAATCACAGCTTTTGGTGCCTCCCTGCACATATATTGAATCGAATCCTGATCACCTACAATAATACACCATCTCCTTTGTTAAAACACAAAACAAAAGGGAAATTTTGTTAGAAAGGTAGTTAAATACTGCAATATGGAGGATCAAGAGAGAAGGTAGCTCAATGCAATATAGGAATGCATGTGCACATCATAGCCCTTATGCCTTTGGCATGAGTCATATTGCTTTGTTACACATTATCATTTGATATAAGTAGTTTGATCAGAGTTTGAGGGGAAAAAAGGGTCAACGTATGTTGTTGCCACTTCACAAAATGCAGGGAGATACAATAAACTACTTCAGGCAAGACAATAGTGTTCTTAAGGTAAACATATCCTTTCACTTAAGAAGAGAAAGCTTAAAATAAGCCATTCTGACAGCCAAATATCAAGTAGAAGCATATGCTTAAATACATCTGCCATATATTAAGTATCCTACAAAATCACAAAGGATACAAGATCAAACAAGTCATCTACCTAACCAATCACTTCCTTTAACTGTGTCATACATGTGCCATCGCCAGTCATCTTCAGTCATATTTCCTAAAGCAGCATTTATACCACCCTGAAAATAAATAACACTGATCGATTAGAGATTATTTATTTTAATGAAATTAAAAAACAAACAAAACCACTGACAAAACCAATAACCCTTATACGGACTGTGCTTTAAACATGTAACTATACAACGACTCTGCTTTACCAGAATAATCCAAGTTCAGATGAAAATAAATGACTTAGTTGACAATAATTGGGAGAAGTACAAAAAGTCTTATAAAACAAAACAGTATGAGAAATTCAAATACCCTTGCATTACTCTTTAAAATGCAAAAAATACAATTAGATCACAATATGACAAGTGACAGCTAATAATTGATAGTATTTGAAGAGTTTTTAAAAATCCCATAATTGTGGTAATAAGAATGATTCTAGTACGTTTCATTTTCAGTATAGATTGGACAATAGAACATCAGTCATTATGCAACCCAACCATCTGTGCCGATAAAGGAAACAACAGCAAAGAAACAAGTAGAATGTGCATAAAGCCATTAAATCTTAGAAGTCATAAGCCCATTAAAATTAGAATCATGAAGTCCACCTATCTATAGTCATTGTACACATACATACCCTGAATTATACCAACAGCATCACTCACAATCACAAAAACAATAATAGTTTTATACCTGAGCTGCAACGGTATGCGAACGAGTTGGGAAGAGCTTAGTAATGCAGGCAGTATTGAACCCATGCTCCGAAAGACCGATGGCCGCTCTCAGCCCCGCACCACCAGCACCAACCACGACTGCATCATATGTGTGATCCACTATTGTGTAAGGGGATTCTTTTTGTGGCCAAATCGTATAAGGTGCTTCACCCTGCAATAATCGCAGATGTTTAACACAAAATCCTTTTTGTTCCATTTTCAAATAACTATAAAAATTCAATAAGTTAATAGATGATTTAATAAAACCAAGTGTAGATTATGTGGATTCTTTTCCTTGGCTGCATTTTCTCAGCAGCCAAACAGTCCTAGCAATAAAATTTTTTTTAAATAAATATAAAAAACATGTCAAGTAAAACCAATCAAAATCTACGAAAAAATCCAGTAATCAAAAAGGAAGAGGAAAAGATAAAAGCAAAACGACTCTTACTTTTCAAAATAGAAAAAAAAAAAGCAATAAAAATCCGAAAAGACATCAGAAACCCTAGAATTAATAGGAAAGAGAAGGAACCGTACAGCATCGGTGGAGAAGAATCTGGAAATGTGAGATCTAAGAGAGTCATTTGAGACCGACCTCTTCGAATATGGAACTCGAAGGCTACGAGAAACGCAGCGCCACATCTCCCCTCGTTTTATCAGATTTTTACTCTTTAAGATTTTTTTTCTTCTTCCTCTTCTTTTCTGAGTTACTGGAGCATGGTAAGGCGTGTGGTAATTGTTCTCGAAAGACAGAGCAATAAAGGAGCAGACGAGATAGGAAAGTGAGAAAGACACCGGAGAAAAGAGGTAGCTAATTGTTGAATGCTGATGCAAGTGACGCTAAAGGCTGTTGCAAATACCCTTGGTTTTCAACGTAAGTACCAAAATGCCACTGTAGTGATGCGAAGTGGCGTGATCAAAGATCCAAACTGTGCCTCGTAGGAGGGATGCCAGGTTACGTCCGTCTGTACTTTCCCAACTACGACGGATTTTTTGCCTGGAGACAGCAACCGAAGAAAAATTTTTTGATGAAATTTATAAAAAAATCTAAATGATTAATAAAATTTAATGGAAAGATTAATAATATATAAAAAAATTTATTAATTTTATTATAATTTAAATTTTATCATAACAGTAAAAATTTTATTAACATTTTTATTAAAATTAATTATTTAAAATATTTTTAAATTTACAAACTTAATTTATATAATAAATTTTATTATTTTACAATTTTAATATTTAATTTTGTTTAATCTTATATAGTTAACAACTTCACAAACTTTAATTACAAAATTTATCTAAATATTTCTTTGTTAATGATATATTAATACTTATAAGCTACTCAGATTCAATTCGAATAAAACTCAAATTCGACTCGATTTCGAATAGTTTGATTTATCGACTTAGCTACTTAGATTCGACTCGAATAAAATTCAAATTCGGTTTGGTTATCATCGAATCAAATTCGAACTCGAATAGTTTGACTTATCGATTTAGTTGAATTCAAATATTTTTATACCCGACTTGAGTAATTTACAAGTCTAATCGAATTTTTATATTTTAATATATTTTATATATTTTAATTGATAAAATATATCGAACTTAAGTTGAAATTCAAGTATAAATAATCAAGTTTTTATCGAATATAAGAATGAAGCTTATTTTTATATATTAATCGAGCTTAATCGAGTGAGCTCGAATAACTCGATTTTTATTTTGAGTCTAGCCCGAATTAAAAAAATAAAATTCAATCAAATTTGAACTAAGTTTTGAGTATTAAATTTGAAGTTAAACTAGAGTTTAAACTTTATATCGATTCGAATTCGATTGACTATACCTTACCTTCGCCTTAGCATTAACATTCAAACAAAATTTCAATATGATTTGATTTTTTCTACTCTATATATGGGAAGAGTTTGAAAAAGTTAGTTGAAATCTTAAACTTTGCTTTGCATGTATTTTATGCTTCACAACTTCATTTTATGTGAAAAGAAAATTGCTAGGAGAGTAAAATGCACGAAGAAATACTAAAAAAAATGTATTTCATCACTGCTAGTGCTTTACTATAAAACCCAAAAAAATTTAGTATGATTTTAATAAGATTAGGACGTTCTTTATGAAAAAAAAAAAACAATATTGTATTTTCCATGTTTCGTTCATCAAGTCATTTAAATGGTATGTTTATAAGTTGTAAAAATATTATTAGTTTGATTTCATTCTAAATTTTAATCTTAAGATATCATATTCAAGTATTAGATTTAATGAAAATTCTCATGATAATTGCATTATTTTTTTTATACAAAAAAAAAATCAATTCGAAATTAATTAGTAACTCTAATCACAAAAAGTTTATAAATTTTTTAAAACTTTTCAAACTTACAAATCACTTATCAATAAAGGATCATGAGAGTTCAAATCTAGATGTTTTACATTCAAAATCTTCATCTTAATCAAACTTGCGGCAACCCTGTTGGCACGCTACTTCCATTATTAACAAATATGCAAGTAAACTACACAAAAAGAAAAGCAAAAGCACACACATAAATATAAATGAATAATATAGTAATAATAGCTCTCGGAAGAGACCAAAATAAATAAAATAAAAATAAAATGTTCATTAATATTGTTGATGAGTATAAATAAGTTGGTCCTAATACATATATATCGATCTGTGTACATACTTTGATTCTGTTTTGTCTTCCCCTTTTCTTCATGTGATATATCAAAAGCCACTATCGTCTCGTCTCTAGTGTACAATCCAGATGAATGAGTTATAGATGATGGTAGCTAGCTTTGGTTCAATTTCAAATACCTATATATCTATTATATAAAACGCGATCGAGCGGCTGAAACGGCCAGAGATGTCTCTTCGTGAGATTTTAAGACTCTGATGGGTAAGCCCTTGGGGAAGTCGACAAAAGGGAAGGCAAAGGGTTGATCGGTATCGGCTAACTCCCACTGGTAGTTGAGGACCAAATGGTGGATGAAAATGGCCATTTCCAGTTTAGCCAGTTCTGATCCTGCACATAGCCGTGGTCCTCCCCCGAATGGCATGAAGTAATTGCCGCTTGTCGTCGGATTCGGACTCGATAAAGACGACGTCGTCCCACACGTACCATTATTTTGCTATATCAAATCAATATTAAATAAAAAAAAAAAGGGAGTTCAATAATCTGCTTCAGCTGTTTCAGAAATAGTACCAAGGAAAGATGCATGCAGGACTTCAGATAACACATATAGCTTAGCAAAAGTGACATAGTACAACATGCACTGTTGACTATTGTATGTAATTGTCACGATTGATAACGGCATGAGGTGAGGAGGGAGGAAGATTTTTTAGGTGAAAATTTTTATTTAACTGATAAAAATTATTTTTTTTGATATAAAAATTTTGAATTTAATTTCAATCAATAATTATTTATTAAGATCATTGAATGTATAATTTTTAATTATTTATTTTAAATTATTGTGCACGACTTTTTTTTATTTAAAAGATTGAAAAATTATTTACATCAATTTTAAAAGAAAAAATTGTGAGAAAGGATCTAAATGTACCAATTTTGCATGCATTTGGGGCGAGACTCAAACAAAATGGGACATGTTTCCCAAAGTAAAAACTTCTCGACATGGGATTAGTCATTGTCTCAACTTTCGTATAATTAGGTTCAGTGCTGCTCTCTTTAACCATATTGATAATATTAACCTTTTAGACTATTTTTTTTTTAAATTACTAAGAAATTTTGTTTGGACCAGGCTATGAACTGTGATTGACCCAAGGAAAAAAAAAGCACCCCCTGCACGTGCATGCGAGAACCCCACAGCCACACGGGGTCTTTAATCATCATCTTGAAACCCCCGCACCTTCCCACACGAGGGTAGATGCCATATCCTCTCGCCTAACAAAATTTACATAAAAATTTAAAAATTTTTAAAAATAATTTAATAATAAATTAAATTAATAAATTAATAAAATTTAATATAAAAATTAATAATATATATAAATATTAAAAATATTATTTATAATTAAAAATTTAATTAATATTTATTAAATAATAAATTTCTGTTAATATTTATATTAAAAATATTTATTTAAAAATATATCAAAATTTATTAAATTTTACATATTTAATATATACAACAATAAATTTCATTCTACCAATTTAAATTTTAAATTTTAAATTTTAAATTTTAGTTAATTATTTTTAATAAAAAATTTTACAAATTTAATTTTAGAAAGTTTCTTCTAAATGCTTTTGCTGATCTGCTTTACAATTCCTGGCTTTTGATTAAACCTTTCAGTATATTTTTTTTGGGATGCTGCGAGAGGGGGCCTACGTCCGTACAGCGTGCAAAAGCGCTTCATTGATCAATGATCAGGACAGTTCATGTGTTCAACGGATTCAACGGATCCGTCGGACCATAGCTTGGCTTTCAGATATCTTCCTATGCTTATTTGCCTTATCCTGATACGACAGTAATTAACGTCTAAATGTTGTACAAATATGACTTCCTAAAAATACCTCTGAAACTTTTTATCCAAATTTCACTAAAAATAAGAGAGCTCTTGTGTAACGCTATCATTCCCCAAAAAATTAAAGAATTTATTTATTTATTTATATATAAATTTTAAACGTGAGAAAAATTTATCTATTTAAAGTTAATTAAGGGTTCGTTACAGAATAGTGATAAAAATTGACCAGTCAAAGAGTAATAAGCAAAGTTTCACACTTGTTTTCTTCTTTTCCTTTTTTGGTTAAAATCACTGTTTTTTAGATTTTTTTTTTGTTCGGCGTCCATGGAAAAATATATCAAAGTACAAAAGCATATGATTTCTTGTTTGACTGACTGACTGACTGACCTGCCATCTCCATGGATTGAAGTGCTGAGGTTGGTCAAAAAGACAGGGATCCAAGTGCACAGCTGCAATCACTGGAAGTACTTTCCATCCAGATGGAATATCGTACCCTTTTCAGCACCAAAAAGAAAACAAAAAAAGGAAGTTTCAATTCCATTTTTAAAGCTGCTTGGTTAAAGCCAGTAACAGCTGATTATCATCTTTAAGTTACCTTTATACCGAACATCTTTGACAGCTTTTCTATGGAGAAATCTGACAACATTACCAAGCCTAAGTGTCTCACTGATAACCTTTAGAAAGTGAAAAAAAAAAGGACAAATGGTATCTTTTAATAATAGTGTATGATTAAATGAACAAAAATATTAAAACGGCTTACGCATTGTGTGAATTCCATTTTCTTGTAATCATCCCAGTTCAGTTCCATCTCCCCTGATTGCTTCTTGGCTCTGGCAATTTCAAGGTGTTCTTCCTATGTTTTAAGTTACAAAAGAAGATGATCAATCAAAGCAATCGAATTATACGAAAGGGAAAGATTGCACTGTTGGATAAATGGTCAGTAGTTGCTCACTCTCAACTGTTGAATAGCCATGGGGCAACCTGGTAAGAAGTAGATGGCTAAGGCTATGGCTACAGATGAAGTTTCATGTCCAGCAAAGAGCAAGCTGAGAATCAAATCAAGGATTTGCTCTGTCGAAAGCTTTGAATGCTTCAAAACCGACTCAAGAAGATCATCTTCCTCCAGATTTTCTTTTCCCTCCTTCATTTTCCTTTTTCTTTCTTCCATTTTCCTCTCAATAAATTTGAGGATAGTTGATCGAGACTGTCAACAGCAGTAACAGCAGAACAAGAAACAAAACTAAACCATCAGATTAATTCATGATTCATAATCAATACTTAAAAAAAAAAAAAAATCTGGGATTAATTTGATAGTTTACTTGTAAGGCTTTCCTATAAGCAGTTCCAGGTAAATTTAAAGGAGCAGAAACAACTCCTTTCATGAAAGTAACATATTCTTTCTTGAGCTGCTCGGTCTCAGGATGTCCAGGGTCCATGCTCATAATATTTTTGGCCATCAAATTGAAAGTGAACTGCAAAACAAATTCCAATAAAACATAAGCAACCCACTTTTTCTAGGCTATATATTCAAACAAAGAAACTTAATTCCATACTAACTTCCA